TGTGTGTGTGTGTGTGTGGATGTGTGTGTTTTTGGCACATCTGTAAATGACAGTTTGCATCCTTTGCTTTTTTCCTCACTGGTGTTGCAGAATGTGGAGGACGACCACCTGAACGACTCGCTGGGGAACCCCGGCCTCATCTCACCTGACAAGGAGGACATATCACGTCTCCTGGTATGAAAAGAAGAACCCTCAACACCCTCCTGTGCCTCCTGCTTTACGCCTCCGGTCATGTGCGTAATGGATCAAATTTGTTTTTTTGCGCAGACGGTGCCATTCAGCGGACGTATCCGGGGAGGCATGCGGCCAGGGAAGAAGATCATAGTGATGGGGATTGTCGACCAGGAGCCGGAGAGGTGAGAACACCACGAGCTGCTGCAGCTTCACGTGTAAAGCGTCCTGTTGTGTCTGTAATGAGTGATTCGGTGAGAGATAGGCTCTTTGTTCTGAGGCCAGTCAGACCTGCACAGCCACTCCAGGACACACTGTGGGCAGCCCGGGAGAGAATGGTGGCTTCTTAAGTATGCAGAGACAGGGCGTTCCCCCCAGCAGCAGCAGCAGCAGGGAGACAGAGGGGGTTACAGAGGAAAGAGAGGGGGAAAGCAGGGCCCAGTGAGGCTGACTTGTTTGGGTGTGTCCTCGTTCCCTACATGGAAACTTGTGTCAAACTTGGATGAAACCTCCCCATGACCTCACCATGTTCTGTGGCTGCTGCTGGCACAGTATTCATGCCAAAGTTCAGGCGACTGTCCCGGCTCACGCAAAACACAAGACTGCTTCTCTTTGTCTGGATCTCAGAGCCGAGGAAGTTACTGTAATCATGGTGGGGGGGGGGGGTCAGCAGGGATTATTACTAATTAACACTCAACACTTTGCTCCTACACAGCAGCAGCAGAATTATGATTTATCCCAGATTAGCTATTGGACTCATATCCCACATCTGACGTCCTGTCTGTCTGACCCCTCAATCCTCTGCCCCCCCCCCCTCAATCCTCTGTTCCCCTCCTCCTCCTCCAGCTTTGACGTGAGCCTGACCTGCGGCCGTGACTCAGAGAAGGAGCAGCCGGCGTACGACGTGGCCCTGAAACTCACCGCCCGCTTCGGCGACCGCCAGTTCCTACGCAGTGCCCGCATCTCTGGGAAGTGGACAGGGGAGGAGGCTTCCACTGCCTACTTCCCCTTCATCCCTGATCAGCCCTTCAGGGTAAACACTCATTTTTGCAGGAATGCAACAGTAAATGTGCCAGAACGCCTCTTTTTTTTTTGTTCAGAGACAAACAGGAAGTGTGTTTCTCTGTTAAATCATATCTACATGCAGCTTGTATCCTGTGTGCCCGTCTGTTTACTGCGTCAGGATCAGCTGTTTGTGTGTGTGTGGGGGGGGGCAGTCGAACACATAATGCACGATGCGTAATTTTCCGAAAGACCTGAGGACTTGTGAGCTCAGGACGTCAAATTCCGCTCTAATAATCCTGAATGTGGCCTGAAAACCAACATATGGTGTTTGACTCAAAATATACGATGAGGCATTCGAGTGCCCGTAAAAATTTAAAGCATTAAATTTCTATTCAAACAATACAAGACACAACAACCTGCATCTTTAATCCCTGCGTCTGGTTATGTAACGTCACAGTGACCAGTTCATGACTCAGTGAAAAGCTCGGGGACGGAGATTAGGGACGTTTTTTTGCAGATTGTTCCTTGTTGCCTTGTGGTTTTGTTGGCATGTGGACGGACACGTGACGGGATGTGGTTTCAGAGAACATCACATCGACCGGCCTCAGGCACAGTGAACCCACCTATGAGTCTGTTCTCTCTGGTCCCGACCGCACGGAGGGATGTTGTTTACACTGGTGCATTTTGGGATTTGGTGTGTTTAGGTTCACAGTGTTTTCAGATGCTTGTTCAGTGGTTTTGGAAAATGTTAAAACAATGAAATGGAGCAGCAGTGAGATGTGTTAGAAGAGATTTTCATTCAGAGCCGACACCAAGATAAGGGAGTAAAAATAATCCCATTTACTGGCTGATGTATTTATCTTCACAAGTTTGACGTCGTCAGCTTGTGTTTCTTGAAGACGTCTCACGTTTCATCCCGAGGCTTCTTCAGCTCTAACTGACTAATGGGAGGTTTCGGGTATTTAACGTCTGTGGGTTTGTACTTGTGTTTAGAGTCGTTATGTTAATCAGGCAGATCGTTAACCCTCCCCCCAGTGAGTGGGCTGTTGAGTCCTCGGAGTCGAGGTGTGAATGGCTGTTGATACATGTGAGTTGTTGATCCGCCCGTGAGTCATTAGGGTCACTGGAGTTGGGTGTTGACCTCCTCGTTTTCCAGCTTCTTTCCCTCCTCTGTCAAACCATCAGTCTTCTGTGGCCAACAAACGCACATCACCAGAAGAATCTCAAACTAACACTGACACCAAGATGTCGATGAAATGCTCACGTATCAGTCAACCGATAAATGTGTTGGCCTCTATTTACGTCCGCCTCTCCGTGTACGTGTTGGTTGGTTTAATCGGATTTCAACAGAACTTGAGAGGAAGCTACATGGGTCAGGAAAGAACCCTTTGAATTTAGTTCCAGATCTGGATCAGGCGGCGGATCCAGGAAGTGATTTGTTCGGAGGTCAGGGGAATAATTCCTGGAAGTTGATTTAAACAATCGGGCACATTGAGAGAATTGATATCTTTGAGTGGCTAAGCTAAGCTAAGTTAACTTCCAGCTGTATTTACCACATAGGCCTGTTTTTGATGCACAAATAACAACACTGAGTTGTTTCTTTGTTTATTCTAAAGCTGGATTCTTGATGACTCTCTTCTCCTCTCTCCGTCTTCTCTCCATCTTCTCTCCGTCTTCTAGGTCGAGATCCACTGCGAGCACCAGCGGTTCCGGATATTCGTGGACGGACACCAGCTGTTTGACTTTTATCACAAAGTAAAATCTTTGACCTCTATCGACACAGTACGGATACAAGGAGATCTACAGATCACCAAGCTCGGCTAACGCCCCCCCTCCTCCTCCTCCCGCTCTGCAAGTCGTGTGTGAAGCAAGGACTCGATCGCAGATGACCACACACACACACACGTTATGTCGCCATCCCTTACCCATCATGCAGCACCGCAGCGGCGTAGCAACTTGGAAAACGTCTCCGGTACTGACAAGTTAAAGATCTTCTGCTTAATTTCTCTCCCTCCCTGTTATTTGAAGATTCTGTCCGGTGCTTTGTGTGGGAACGTGTTTGCTCCATTTTCAGCAGTTTGTGCTCGTAGCCCCAGTTTTGTCAGATCCGGGATCTCACAGCTTATAAATAGTGTGTTCATTAGTTCTGTTGAATCCTCGAGGGACGCTGACAGAGAGGCAGGTGTTGGGGGGGGGGGGGGCAGTTACTCAGGAACTTCTGGAACTCAGCAGCTACAGATTGAAACTTGTGTTTAAGACTGAAAATGTTTGAACTTAAATCAAAGTCTTAAACAAATACGTGCATATTGCTGAAGTTTAAAAAGGTGAAACTCTGCAGTGTTGACAGACCAGAGAATCCGATCAGAACTGGTTTTAAGTGACACTTAGCTGGATGTGAAGTTATTGTTGTCGTTATCTGCTAAAACTCAAGTGCAGCATTTCTCCCTTTTCTCCGCGTTGGTTCGTCTCCAGCTCCGTTGGTTCGTCTCCAGCTCCGTTGGTTCGTCTCCAGCTCCGTTGGCTCCCCCCCCAGTCCTCCCTTGGGTTTATTCCAGTTGTCATAGCAACACGCTGCAGTCTCACCGACCTAAATACCCAAAAATGGGGATTATATCATGACAAGATGTGGCTTCCCACGCTGCACATTTTAGTGATGAATGCAGCCGTTAAAAAGGAGAATTAGTTAGAAAACTGATCTCTGCTGTTGAACTCCCAGGACACATTTTTTCTTTCCTGCAGACTTCGTGTGAATTGGTCTCTAACGCTGTTTTCAGACTTGAACTCTGGAAAATTTCCAGAACATTTGATCTGGACTCTTTCTTTCCTTTTACATACGAAGAAGTTTGTCCGGGTCGGACGTGTTTGAAAAGACGGGAAAATGTCTGGAACATTCAGGCAGGAGGCAGAACATGACGTTTAAATTCCACTGCGGGAATCAAGTGCTTTTGTTTACAGCACGTTCACACCGTTGTCGGCCCTTAGTCGCCAAAGGCTCTAGATTTCTCGTAGTCTTTCAAAGTTGACATCTTCGTCGTTGTCCTGCGCGTGTACGGCTCCTTGTTTTCATCCTGAGACATTTTATTTCTTCCACGTCCGTGTCCGTCACGTGTTTGAAGCATCATTAACACGCCCACAAGCTCGCTGTGAATTTTCTGGACGTTTTCACTGTTGTGTTCTCACATTCCGGACATTTTACCAGGCGGCTGCAGGAAAAGTTCAGAAAATGTCACGACCTCAGTGCGTGTCTGAAAGCAGCTTAACACAATATGCGACTTGTTTTCGTTTGTCCCACGTCATTATATATATATCCCGGAGAAAGTGTGCGGTCAATGTGTTCAGGTTTCAGCCGAGCGCAGACTTGTTCCGCGGTCAGCTTGTTGTTTCTGAAGCAGAATCGGAGCCTGGTGGTTTGCTGAATGTAAATTATTCATGTTTCTATGGTAGCGTAGAAGATAAAGTGATGCACAAAACTTTTTACCTAACGTCACAGTGTTTTTTTTTGGTGGTACGGCCGGTGCTGTTATATCTTCAGTCTGACAGTATGTCTCACGTCTTTTATGGCTTTTTTAAAAAGTGTTTTTTTTTTTTTCCTGAATCATTCCACGTCAACGTCTCGTCCACACTGAAGCAGGTCGATGTTTTTAAACACGTCCTCGTTTAACGCAGCTCTTTGTCTCTGTAAGAAATCCACTGCACACAGGACATCTTGTCCTTGACTGAGGGAGAGAGAGAGTCGTAATAAATACACAGAAATAAACTCATTAACAGTTCTATGTCTTGAAGAGCTCAAAGTATTAACATTCACTCTGTTCTGTAAAACACGTCAAACTAGATACGAAGTTCACTGTGTAGATTTCTGGATCACTTTCTAATAAAGGGTTGATAAGATGTAACTTATGGTTTTTATTAATGGGTAATAATTGATTCACTAATGCTTTGTCATAAGAAATAAACTTCGGAGTTTCCAGGTTGCAAAAGGAAAATAAATTGTAATAATAACATCTAATAAACATCAGTTTTTCAGTTATAAATGTTGATGAATCATAAAGGGTCCGGAGGTTCTCACTTTATTTTGTTAAAATGGTTTTTACACAATGAGAAGAAATTGATTCTGGTTTAATTAGAGTGCGATTCTTCACAACCTGGCAACCCAAAAGTAGTTTCTTACAATGGTTACTTGACAAAATGTCAGTAAATTATTTATTAACCATTAATAAAGTTTTTACAACTTATTATCTCTTACTTACGAAAATGTGTTTATTAGAAAGTGGAGCTGGATTCTGTTCGTTTGTCTTTGGAGAAAGATTTCAGGATTCATCACATCGAACTAAAAAGTTAAACTACAGATCGTAGTTCTCAAACACGGCTCTGTGGCAGGTCCGGCTAAAGTCAGTGTCTCCATCATGACACACACACGCACACAGACACACACACACACACACACACACACGGACTCAAAGTGAAAACAAAGCTTATCATGCTCTTCCTGCTGTGTCATGGTTTGTGAGCAGGTGTTGACCTGAAGAGAATGAAGGCGACGCCTCATGCTGCTGTGAATCTGGAGTAAGCCATAACATCTGTGCAGAACATCTGCACTGACCTCACTGCAGGGCGATGCAGGCCAACATCTTGTCTTTCTGTTACTGTGTCCGGCGCTCATCAAAACACACAGAGAGGACGCTCTCTGTTCTTTCACGGGGCGATAAGGTCTCTGACTGGTTTTCTCCTGGTCGGTCAGACGGGCTCTTTCCCTGGTGCTTCTCGTTTTCAGCAGCTGGTTTATTTTAGACACAAACAGGAAATGAGAACAGTTTGGTATGAGAGGGCAGCGAGGAGGTTAGAGCGACGCTTCATCATTCCAGTGTGGCAGCGGAGCAAACAAGAGCAAATAAAGTGCGGTTGTGTTGATGGGTCGTGTGTTTTTTCATGCAAGTTTTCGTGTTTTCGTTCAATGGCAAACGATAAAAACACGTTTGTCGTCTTCATGTAGAGACAAGGGTTCGTGGTTGTGGCTCCTCGAACATGAAGCTGAGCTGAGCAGTGTGAACAGCTGTGTGTGTTGTTAGGAATCATGAGGGCGTTGGATGAACCAGAAGACTTCCTGAATTAAAGGGCTCAGAGTGGGGGGGGGTGCTCTTTGTGTGGTTGTGCATGGAGACATTCTTTTTGTGTGTTTGTTATGTTGTCTGTGGTGCAGGGTACTGGAGCTCACTTATTTGCTATCGTGTCAAGTATTCCACATGATGAGTACATGTGTTTGTAAAACCTCATGTTAAAATAAAAGCTCCCAGCCACTGATCCTCAGACGATCCCCCGTCTTTTGATCAGGATAATTCTCGCTGTTTGCTCCTATTTGAATTGTTCCACAACCCTTTAAAAAAAAAACTGAATGTGATTCTCTTCCTGATTGTATTTTGATGATAAAAAAAAAAAAAATCCAGGTAGAAATACTGTTCACACTCACCTCAGTCATTCAGGATCTTATGAAACTCACCTTCCTGTCCTGAGTGACCGAGTGAAACAGCTCATTTGACCCAGGTCTGTAAGTTTTTGGTACTTTGGATGTACATAGTGATGAAGTTTTGTTTTTACGAGACAAACTCTGAGAAAGCATTTTGTTTTGCATGTCAGTCAGTACTATGGAAAGATTGAGGTATAATCATGTGTTTTCATTCCAGTCAAGCATGCGGTATTATTATTATTATTATTATTATATTTAGATTTTTTACTTTTATCAGATATGTTTCAAGGTGAGATTTTCTATTCGGCCTGTTTTTCTCTATGACCTCATTTTTATGAAGACTCAAGTTTAGTGCTTACCTTGATGTTGAATTATGGGATTTAACCAGTGACTGTATATAAAGATGACGTCATTTGGAGCCAGAGACTTGTACAGCAGTGATCGTAGCGGCGAGGTCCTGCTGATACACACACTAGACCAATCCCCAGTCTCCCTGTCAGCTGTCAATCACAACGTTCCCCCCCCCCCGTGTTAACAGCATCAAATAATTCAAATTAAACTTATTGATGTGATTAGAACTACTTAAAAAGTCATATTTAAGAAAAATGTATTTGACGTCTGCTTTGACTTTTTAGTTTGGTCCATGTCCCATTTGCTAATATGGGGGAGACAACTATAAGCAGCCAGCCTGCAGGGGGCGATCCAAATGATTTGGCTTCACCTTCAGGGCGCTGTGATGTCGTCCATCTTTATGATTTGAAATCTATTTGTTTTCCACGTGAGTTTTAACGAGTGTAAGAAATTCAATGGTTTCCGAAGACGCGTGAAAAGCTCCACGGCTGTTGTGACAACGGCTACATGATAATATCAGTATATTTATGAAGTGGTCTCTGATTAGAAGTAGCTTCATCTGTTGCTAATGTGTTGTGTGGTTGTTATCATTTCTATGTATGACAGTGTAACCAGCAGGATGTGTGTGCTAACGTTTTACCGACTGTAACGGTAACATGCTAACTGTTTAAACCGAGGCGTTTTGAAAAAGGTGAGAGGTTTTCTTCAATAAAGATGATGAAGTGTTTTGGCTCCGACAAATGTTACGGCTGTACTTTATTGTGACACATGAGGAAACTTGAGTGTTTTTCAGGATGCACCAAGTCTGAGGATCACCAGGATGTTGGCGTTAGATTTTCTCAAAGTCTTCCAGGTACCGAGCGTCACTCTGCTGCTCAGACTTTGTATTTACAACAAGATGCCACAGTGATTCCCAAAATAATCTGAGATGAGCCTGAATCATGTCTCACTGATGACGTGTTGTTCACCAGTGGTTTGATGGAGACAGTGCATTCGACCCTTGTTCTCCACGTGTTCTTTTCTTCTATGCTTTTGTAAAAAATAAAAAACAGCTACTTTGCAAACAAATAAACTTCTCATCTTGAAATGTGCTTGTCTGCAGTGTCTCTTTCCTGAAAACGCTCAGAGGCTCAAGAGAAAATATTTATAAAGGGTTGAAATAACGTAATGATAACAAAAGGCAGTGAAATTCTTCAGTATTGATTTAAATCTGGAAACAGACCTGCAGCTCTCTGAGGTTTATTACAGTTGAATCAATATTTATTTACTGTAGTTTTATCATTCTCAATTTGAACCATTATGTTTTGTGTCTTCTTTAACTTATTTGTTTTTTTTCTCTAATTTATTTTAAACTTTATGAAAAGTACTCAGCTGCAAGTGCAGTAGAGGTCTTAAGAGTCAGCATCTGTACGATTTAGATGAACAAAACTAGTGAAAACATCTCCAGGGTTCACCTAAAACTTTCACACTGAAACTTTAAACAAAGGTTTTTATTCTCTATCTAACTTCTATTTGTGTATTTTACATAAAAAAAAACAAAGAATAAAATCTCAAAACTATTCACTGATTAAATACTCCTCCGCCGCAGCAGCAGGGGGCGCCGTTGAGCAGGACCCCTGCTGGTTTGGAAGCGGAACAGGAAGCATTGAACCTGTGCAGCTGTCATCCTGCAGAGTTCGCGGCTCCCTGTGTGTCGGCCGCTCGCTTCAGGGACCCCGGGGGGATCCGTCATGTTGGCCGGGACGCAGCTGCTCAGGGTGCTGCTCACCGAGCGGCTGGAGGCGGCTGCTCAGGAAATCTTCCGGCTGGTGGAGAGACACATCTCCGAGTGTCAGGAGGAGGTGTTCCGCTCCAGGGCAGAGATCGTCCGGCTGCAGCTGCGGGTGGAGCAGCTGACCGCAGCTGCAGGTGATGAGTCTGCGTCTCCGCGTCTGAGCAGCATGCTCCCGTCAGGCTGCCGTGCTGCAGCGTTGCTAGGCAACTGATGATGTGGGGAAGTTGCACCAGACTCAGGATTTTTTTAATTTCACAACTTCAGGAGATATTTTTTTTTTTTTTTTTCTTTTTGTCTTGTCTTGTCTTTTCTCAGTGTTTTTAGATCAGGTGCAATATTCAACTCTCTTTCATTCTGCGTTATTATTCTGGGTCTTACACGATATGTCCATGTGTGTGTTTTCACGATGTTCTGCTCTGCACGGGGACGATAAAGTATATTTGATTTGATTTGAAATTCATGAAGTGCAAAATGAAGTAAATAATTCTGCATTTAATTCATTTATCAATGGATGTGTGCTCTTACAACTATTTCTGTTTACTTCTGATTTATACTTCCACTTCCCCAAATTTATTTGACAGCTGAAGTTACTAATCGCCTGCAAATAAAAATAGGTTTTAATATGTCTCCTCTCCGTCCTGTAGACACCCAGAACGTCTCTGAGGAAGCGTTCCCCTCACAGCCGCCAGACCAGGTTCCAGTTGTGGAGAAGATGGAGACCGGCGAAGCTCAGCAGGTCAAAGAGGAGCAGGTGGATCTCTGCATCAAACCGGAGCTGGAGGCTGATTCTTTTGAGCCTGTGAAAGTCAAACCGGAGCTGGAGGCTGATTCTTTTGAGCCTGTGAAAGTCAAACTCACTGGATCGAACGCCGCTCCTCGGACAGACTGTCCGCTGTCGCCATCTCTCAGTGAGCTAACTGTGACTCTGGGCAATGACGGTGAATGGGATGGTAGTGGCAGCTCGGGTTCGTCCGCCTGTCATCCCAGACGTGACGGTGCGCTTGCTGCGGGTCGGGAACGAGCTCACAAGGACAAGAAGGTTTGTCGTTTCTGTCGCAAGCAGTTCAACAGGGACTCAGCTCTGATCAGACACATGGAAGAGAAGCACATGGGAGAGAAGGCCTTCAAATGCCCTGAGTGTGAGCGGCAGTTTTCTCGTAGGGACCATCTGGCCGTGCATTTGAGAATTCACACTGGAGAGAAGCCACACGAGTGTCCGTTCTGTGCAAAATCATTCGCTCAGAGTTCAAATCTCAACCGTCACTTGAGGGGGCACACGGGAGAAAAGCCTTATTTTTGCGAATCCTGCGGCGAAATGGTCGCCCACAGCTATCACCTGAAAACCTGTGGCACCACAGATCCCAGAGGAGAAAAGACATTTCGCTGTTTGATTTGTGGCAAAAAGTTTAAAACTGCAATGAAACTGAGGGGGCACGTGAAGATCCATGAAGCCAGGAAACCACCACACTCAACTGTGGAGCCTTCAGCCTGATGATACCACTGAATTTTCATTTCATATAAAAAACTAGAGCCTGACCACTTGATCGGTTGGCCCTGACATAAATATCAGCCTTTCACACATATTTCAGTTTTCTGCCTTTATTTGCTGATATGAAAACTTTTATTCAACAGATTTATTGATTTGCTTGTTCTTGTGTTTTCTTTTTATTTAAAGTTCTTTATAATAAAGTATATGGTTAAATTCTTAAGTCTAAGGCTTCAATTGCAATCTATCAGTATCAGAAATGTTTTACTCGCTTTATTAAACACATCTACACTAACACACATGCCCACACACGTACTGTAGATACTCAGTTCAGGGTCAAAGCAGACAACATGGCAGCCATGCTGATTACATGTCTTTCACAGAGACAATCCTACAGGTCCTCATCTCATCACGTCCAGACCATCACAAGAGTCTCAATCCTGCCTGAGATCTGTTGACTTCACACCGACTCTGGGTAAAAGTGTCGGACCAGCCGTCAAAACCACTGGGAGGAATCTGGGGGTCCGGGGCCAGTTTAGTCCCAGTCAATCCTGCCGGGTTCTGCAAGCTGTCCCAGAAACCTGGTGGAAAACTAAAGGGGACAGTTTGCTGTCGGGGCCTCGAGGCTCTGGAACCATCAGGTCGACTGACTCAGTTCTTAAATCACACTTCGTGTTTCTTTTTTGTTAAATGTATTGTGAAGCTAAATTTGTAATTTAATGAGAAAAAAGTCCTAATATGAGATTATTAAAGTCATTTTAATGAGAAATCTGCAAATCTGCCA